TTTCACAATTTAAAGAAATATATTGTTGTAAAAATATTTACAAATAAATTTAGAAGAGTGGTCCCAATATAGTAAAGGTAAGCGCGTTGGAAATACTTACTGGTAACCCTGGTTCAATCACCCATCTGTACGAATTTTTCAAACTAGTTTTTCAGCTCGATTTTAGATGGTTCTTTTTTCAGAATCGGACGGAAGACCTCTCGTTGCTTGCAACGAGATCTTTTCTAGTTTTTTTAAATTTTCCTTCCGGTCTTGAAATATCACGTTATTGCTAAAATTTTTGTCCGGCCTACTCAGAAAGCACTACACAAAATAGAGATTTGAAATTTACAAGAATGATTGAATGTGAACCATTCATTTGTAGCTGACTTTTGAAATAATAAGAATTCGTTTAAATTTTTCAAATTTTAAAATTAAATTTTTCCCAAAAAAAAATCATGCAATTTTGTTTTTCTTTCTTTATGTCATCAGATAGATCTTGGCAAGCACTTTCCAAAAATGTATTTCTTTTGTTTGTGAGTACAATAATAAGCAATATATAAGCTCAGGTGTGTTAGGACACTTGCGTGCAAATGTACTGTTAGAATTTTTTAAAAAAAAATCATATCTTTTATTTATTGACCGATATCAATTTTTTTTCACCATCAAATAGATTTTTTCAAAACCTTTCCAACGGTATATTACATTTTATTCTGCGTGTAATAATAAAGAAATACGAGCTCAGGTAAGTTAGCCTTTCGTTTTGACAGGATATGTCAAATTCATTATCAAGGACCCTTGCGGTTGGCGGTACCCTTTAGATCTCTTTGATCTTTGGTGGATATCCTTTGATATCTGTAAAACGTCTTAACTCTTTTATTTCTTTACCGATTTTAAAACTTTTTAAATCATCAAATAGATCTTTTTGAGAGCTTTCCAACGGTATATTTCTTTGGAATGTAAATGCACTAATAAAGAAACTATTAACTCAGGTATATTCGCATTTTGTTTTGACGGAACATGTCAAACTCATTATCAACGACGCTTGCGGTTACTACCGGTGGCTGTACTCTTCGATCTGAAAAAAATATTACACAGTGTAATTGGAAATTCTCAAAGGTCAAATAAAGTGATATTTAGACATTTTCAATTTTTCAAAAAAAAAAAAAAAAAAAACCATTTAATTGCTTCCAAACGTAAAACAAGGACTATTTATGTATTTTGAAAGTTTGAAAACATTAGATCATTTGTTTTGAAATCTTACAAAGGTCAAGTAGTGTGAAATTTAATTGATTTAATTTTTTTTAAATTAAATGATTCCTTATTGTTAAATATAGACTTCATCTGTATTTTAAAAGATCGAGAAGAGCATATATATATATATGTGTTTTGAAATCTCTCAAAGGTCAAATAGAGTAAAATTTAATCGATTCTGATTTTTCAAAAAATTTAAATTGCTTCCATATTTCAAAAGAATGACCGATCTGCTATTTGGAATGCTCGCGGACATCAAATGCTGTGTTTTGAAGTTATTTAAATGTCATATAAAGCAAGATTTAAACGATTTAATTTTTTCAAAAAATTTAAATTGCTTCCAAAGATAAAATCAAGTGTCATATCTGTATTTTGACATATGGAGAACATCATACAATGTGTTTTGAAATATCTCAAATATCAAATAGAAATTTTAATTTCTGCCAAATGTAAATGGAGGTGGAGAATATCATACAATGTGTTTTGAAAACTTTCAAGGGTCAAATAGAGGAAAATTTAAACAATTTAAATTTTTCAAAAAATTAAAATGGCTTCCAAATGTAGAATCGAGTACCATATCTGTATTTTGACATATGGAGAACATCATAGAATGTGTTTTGAAATATCTCAAAGGTCAAATAGAGGGAGATTTCAACGATTTAAATTTTTCCAAAAATTTAAATTTCTCGCAAATGTAATAAACAACTTTCAGTGAAGAAAAATAATGTCAGCTCACTCTTTGATCTAAAAAATAAAACATGTCCTTTAATCCACAGACAGAGTTCTATCATTTCAATTATACCTTTTTTACCTTAAAATTCAAGAACATTGCAATTTCAAAAAGCCAGTTCTCCAAGACCTGGACTTTTAGGAGAAAAATTTTAATTGGAAATGAACGCTATTTTATTTTTTTTTTTTTTGCTTCCATTGGAAAATCAAGTGCTACTCCATCAATTGGTATATCTACGGGGCAATTTTATGCATAAAGTGAATCGAGCTCTTTATCAAAAGTGTATCAAAATACTAGATTTTGTATATGAAATACTTGCACGTGTTTATGAAGATAACGAACAGTATTCAAGCTCAAAGCCCATTAATTTTAATCAATACACATTTGGAGCAGAGCAAACCCAGGCCTCTACCATATTAGAAGCGGATCAGCTGGTGCCACGCAGAAATAAAAATCCCCTGCCGAACAGCCACATCCGTCCTGTGCTACTTGTCATGATTAGGAAATAACTGGAAAAATTGTAGAAAATTCAATATTTTAGAAAATGACTTGACGATTAATATAATAAACGTCAATCAGAAATTGACGTAATGAATATTTTGTCAAGGTTAAATTAATTCTCTATTCATCTTTGTTGTTGATATCGAATTGAATGCGTTGATAATTATTCCAATTACATGTATATTTTAAGTCTATAAAGATATTGAAGCATCCTTACACCTCTTATTCCTATTGAAATCTATGTTTTTTATTCCCTTTATTCTAGGTGCTAACTTGTGCGATCTAACGAAGGGTACGTTGTTTTTTTGTTTTGTTTTGTTTGGTTTTTTTTTTTTTTGGTTGTTTTTTGTTTGCTTGTTTGTTTTTTTTTTTCTTTTTTTTCTAGTTTCTTAGTTTTTTAGCTCTACTGGTCAGAGACCAGAAGCGCTTATGCGATAGTAAGGTGTCCTGTCGTCCGTCCGTGTGTCTGTAAACAATTTTTCAAAACGCTACTCCTACAGTTTTGATCTGATTTCAATATTACTTGGCACACTAGTAGAGTACACTACGATCCATAAAGAATAGCATCGGTTTTTGATTTCCATGAACGGTGTTGCCATGGTAACTAAAAGTAGAAATTTCTGTGAAATTCCTTTAAAATGCCACTCCTACAGTTTTGGTCTAATTTCAATAAAGCTTGGCGCACAAGTAGACTACACTTAGATACATAATATAGTGCATTTGTGTGATTTATTTTGATGAACGGTGTTGCCATGGTTACCAAAAATAGAAATTTCTTTGAAATTCCTTTAAAACACTACTCTTCCTACAGATTTGATCTGATTTCAGTATTACTTGGCACACAAGTAGACTACATTAAGATACATAAAAAAGTGCATCGGTTTCTGATTTCGATTAATGGTGTTGCCATGGTTACTAAAATTAGAATTTTCTGTGAAATTTCTTTAAACACTACTCCTCCTACAGTTTTGGTCTGATTTCAATTTAACTTGGTACACAATTAGACTACACTTAGATACATGGAATAGTGCATCAGTTTTTGATTTCGATGAAGAGTGTTGACTTTGTTACTAAAAATAGAATTGACTGTGATATAAACCAGTAGAGCTACAGTTTCGACAGAGACTTCTGGTTTGTTAGTTTGTTTGTTTGGTTTTTTTTTTTGCTGTTGGTTTTCAAAACATGTTATTTATCTACTCTGTTTTTTTTAATAAGAGTATCATTCTTCTAGTACACATTCACATTAAACATCGTTTACTTTTGTTATTATAATAATTATAAGTTTTTTTTTTATTTCTTAGATCCATGTCAGAATTCATCGTCGATGTATGAGGGATATTTGCGCTCTAAAAATTGTCCCTTTAATAAAACTCTTGGTTTGTGTGATAGATACTTAGATACCCAATGGTACAAAACAGAGGGAAATATGCTTAATTATTGCCCATCACTACATTCATGTGGAGCTGAGTATCCACTGTGGTTGAATGGTTTGTATCATTTAGCTTTATTTCTCTAATTTTTAGCTCTTCTGAGCTAAAGGCTTTACTTAAAGAGCTAATGCTATGGCTATTTGTGCGTTGTGTGTAAACTTTTTAGAATATGGACCATAACTCAAGATACCTTGGCCAATCATTATCAAATTTTTCACAGGGTATCCTTGGTCAAAGGGATCCCGTTTATACGAAAACGGGGTTGTGACCCTTAAACAAGTGGAAATAATAAGGAAAACAGAAAAAAAGTGGTTGCTAAAAATCTTCTGGTAAACTTCTTGGCAGATTATCACCAAACATACCCAAAAGTATGAGAACATGTTGTAGATTAACATTGCACGATAAAGGGCGTTGTCTTAAGGTCACTTCAAAGTTGACCAATAATTTTGATATTTTGCTTACTATAAAGACTAGGATCATCAAATCTTGTCAGGTGATAGATCTAAGGACCTCATATCATGTATACTCAGCTAACTTTTCAATTACTCGGCCATTCTTTTTCAAAATGATTTAGAGGCATCTTTTGAACAATTTAGGTCCATGATCATCGAACTTCGTCACATAAAAAAGTAGGTCACCTTGACCTACTTTTTGAATTTTATGGCTACCTGTAATCTTTTTTTGCAAGACAATTAAGGCCGTTTATTCGAATTCTGATATGTTTAACATTATTGATTGATTGATTGATTGTATATTGTTTAAAGTCCCTCTCGAGAATCTTTCACTCATATGGAGACGTCACCGTATGCCGGTGAAGGGCTTCAAATTTTGACCTTTACTCGGCACTCAGGGCCATTGAGCAGTGAGGGATCTTTATCGTGCCAACGCCTGCCGCTGACACGGGGCCTCGGTTTTTAAGGTCTCATCCGAAGTACCCGCAACTTTCACTTCAAAGTGCCGAGCGCATGGCGAAGGAACAGTTGCTACCCATTTTTACGACTAGGTCAGTCGCGGCCGAGATACGAACTCACGACGTCCCGATCACGGAGCGAGCGCTCTACCGACTGACACAGCTACCGTGAACGGTGTTTAACATTATTAAATCTTGCAAGATGATGCATCTTGAGGCCATGATGCATTTTGGGTCTTCAGAGTAAGTCGACTGAAAAGTACTTTTTACAAACCAATGCTTTAATTAAAAATTTCAAGTAAATATTGGCTTAGAATCATCAAACTTTGTAAGTTGATGCACTTACGTGTACAAATGAAAAATATGTCATCGCGCCCCACTTTTAAAAACTTATAGCTTATATTGTATGGCCTTAATTACATACATAAGGAACCTGTACTAATTGGTTTAGAATCATCAAACTTTGTCAGTTTACGCATCTTCGTCTTCAAAGTATGTCATCTGAAAAGTAGGTCTCTGTGACCTCTTTTGAAATTTTGTGGTTATAATTTAAAAAAAATTAGGTATTCTTATTAGGCTCGTCAAACTTAGTTGATGGATCTTCGGTCCTCATAAAAAGACAAGTAATAAGTAGGTCTTTATGTCCCACTGTCAGGTACTGATTGGCTTATAATCATCTTTGCTTCTCAGAATGTTTCATCTAAAATATAAGTTACCATGACCTACCTGAAGAATTCCAAAGCTTTATTTATTTAAATATTTAGGACACTTAGAGGCTTCAAATGGGAGAGATAAGTTGTACAATTTATCAGTAGAGCGATTCTAGTCTTCTGGGCTTCTTATTGTATAGATATTGCTCTATACAAACAACAATATATTCATAAATAACTAGTGCATTGTGCTTATCAATTTTTTCTGTCTTTTTGACCCTTATTGTTTTGCCCTTTGTCACTTACTTAAATTGCCCGTGTTATATAGATGCAAAAAATATTCTATTTGTAAGGTTTAAACATTCAATTTCTATTTGCATATTTCTTTGTTCAAAACTACATGTTTGCCCTCTGCCATAAAGTTTTAAGGGTTCTAAATAATTATTGCCAGTTGAACTATTTGAAAATCATTAAAATCACGGTTCATTTTTAAATACGTTTTTCATTGCAGTCAATGGAAATCGTTTTAAACTCTGTATATATACTGTATTCAAAGCAAAGCAAAACAAAGATATATCCTTCATTCAAGGGTCAAGTTAAAGTTAAACCATGTTTTATCTTTTCTCCATAAAAAAATATTAACTGTTATGAAGATGGATATCAAACGTACTGTACTTCATTTGACACAGAATAAACAGTCGAATATAACATTTTTTCTCAGCTATAACTCAGGCAGAAAAATCGTTTTAAAGAAATGGGGTTCATAAAAAAAAATAACGTACCTGTACAATCTGTGTCCAGAACCGAAATTCCTATTTCGGGGAATGGGATGGAGCGTGCAGGCTTCCAATTATATTTACATAAATTGGTAGGGACTGGCAATACTGATTAACGTACGCGTGCCTGTATGTTTAACCCATGTGAAAATATACATTTGAAATATTTTTCGTAAATTGTGTTTTAAAAATGTTTATATTAAGCAGTATTTGTAAAAAAAAATTACGTTTTTCTAAACCGTCACAGCAGCTTGTAATTATACTTTGACAGCAGCCGAGAAGTTTTAAAGCGCCATCTTAAATTAGTCTGGCCCTGAATGATTTCTAAAGACTTTTTGTAATTTTATTTGGGTAGGGGGACTGAGGAGAAAATGAGCCATTGGTACACAGATTTAAGTGTAAGAAATAAGCTCAGATACAAGCAATTACAAAACAACTTAACTAAAGAAGCAGCATGAATATCATGTTTGCACATAAACTAGTATGATTATTACAAGAGAAGGAAATATAAAGCACAGTACAAATTAAACATTGTACATGTACTTTAATAAGCACTAATCATGCTGATGCAACAAAAAATGATAAAAGTAATTCAATAATAATTGACATATATGACTATTACAATTAAGGACAGTAATAAAACACATTACAGTGCAAAACATTCTCTAGCATTGACAGAAAAGAAAAAAAATGAACAACAAGGAAAGCAACATAGCAAGTAAACATATGCTTTTCACACATATGGACATTCACAGAACAAAACCACCGTATACAACGGGTAACGCGGGGGAGTCGCTAAAAAGTAAGGGGGAGTCGTTTTCAACATGTGGGGGAGTCGATTTTCACCGCTTCGGAGTCAGAAGAGATGTGGGTCACGTCTTTTTTCGGTATATGTAAGATTTATTTACAAAAAACTACTAGCCCACGCAAGGTAGCAATAGTTAAGCTTTCTGTTGGTCATTTGTCTGGCTAGCATGTACGTCTAGTTTTCTCAAACACTTCGAAACTATTCGACAGATTTCATATTTACGTTGATCGAGTGGATAAAACATGCATAGTTTGCACAATCTACGACTTGTGTAGGGATTATGACCGTTAAAACAGCGAAGCATATGTAGCAATCAGTCAGTGTATATGTCCTTAGTACCTAAGAACTTAGTATTTGAAATTAAAGAAAAACAGGAAAATATTTTATTTGGTTTCTTTCCGTCTGTCTGTGCAAACGTGTCCGGTCCATATCTTTTTTATGAAGGAATATAGAATCAACTATCCCACGAAAAGATTGTACATGAACTAAGGGTGTGTCATGACCTTGAAGAAAAGGTCATTTGAGGAAGTTCAAGGTCACTGGAAGAAAAAATTCATAATTCGTGTCCGATCCATATCTTTCTTACGGAAAAACTTGATAGGTTCTAATTTCACACAAAGATTGCATATAACCTAAGGGTATGTATTGACTTTAAAGCAAGGTCATTTAGGGAAGTTCAAGGTCACGGGAAGAAAAATTTCATAAATTTGTGTCTGGTCCATATCTTTCTAATTGATAAACTTGGTAGGTTGTAATTTCAAACAAAGATTGCTCATAACCTACGAGTATGTCATGGCCTTAAATCAAGGTCCTTTGGGGAATCTCAAGGTCAAAAAATTTCATAATAAGTGTCCGGTCCATATCTTTCTTATGGATAAACTTGGTAGGTTCAAGTTTCACACAAAGATTGCTCGTAACCTATAGGTGTGTCATGATCTTGAACCAAGGTCATTCAGGGAAGTTAAAGGTCACTGGAAGAAAAATCTCATAAATAGTGTCCGGACCATGTCTTTCTTATGGATAAACTTGGTAGATTCTAATTTCACACAAGATTGCTCATAACCTTAGGGTGTGCCATGGCCTTGACCCAAGGTTATTTGGGGAAGTTCAAGGTCAATTGAAGAAAAATATCATAATTTTTGTCCAGACCATATCTTTCTTATGGATAAACTTGGTAGGTTCTTATTTCACACAAAGATTCCCCTGGCTGTGGCATGACCTTGAGCCAAGGTCATTTGGGGAAGTTCAAGGTCCATGGAAGAAAAATTTCATAATATGGGTCCGGTTAATATCTTTCTTATGGATAAACTTGGTAGGTTCTTATTTCACACAAATATTTCTCCTGACCTAAGGGTGTTTCATGACCTTGAACCAAGGTCATTTGGGGAAGTTCAAGGTCAATTCAAGAAAAATTTGATAATTCGTGTCTGGTCCATATCTTTCTTTTGGATAGTTTTGGTAAGTTCTCATTTCACAGAAAGACTGTTCATGACCCAAGGATGTGTCTTGACCTTTGGTCACGGTCATGAGGGGAAGTTCAAGGTCATTGGAAGAAAACTTTTGAACTTTGTGTCCGCTCCATATCTTTCTTTATGGAAAAATTATGGAAAAATTTGAATCTACTACTTCACACCAAACAAAGCTTCTGACATGAGGTTGTGTCATGACTTTGAATCAAGGTCATTTATGCAGGTTCAAGGTCACTGACAGAAAAAGTTCATAATTCGTATCTGGTCCGTATATTTAGTCTATTTTTTTTATTAGGCTGCGCCTTCGTTTCATTTATAGAAAAATATAATGAGCAATTACATTTGCACTTAAAAGGCTATAGCATTTCTCTCTTTTCTTAGATCCAGAACATATTCACGATTTAGCACTTCTGAAAAACCCAGCGGGGTGTATTTTGTCCCGTT